TTTAGGACATGGTTCAACACCAGGCAGGAGACAGAGTGCTATACCCCTAATCAGCATCTGCTTCCTTCTGGCTGGATAACTAAACAAGGATCCAGGAAAAAATAGTTATACCCTGTCACCTGGGATTTTGGTCATAGCATTAGTCAGAGATGTCAGATAATAGAGCAGGGCTGTCCGAGCTCCAGAAAGGATTTTCTGAGACTGTCTGCCATGGCTTTGTATGTACGTGGTAAGGTAGGAAGCAGAAATGTCAGCCTTTCCAGAGAAATAGCTAGTTTCCAAAGAGCAAACAGATGTAGTGCTCACTTTCACAGACTTTTCATGAATTTCTGCCACTGTGTGCTATTGAAATCAGTTTTATGACCCCTTTTCCTGGACACAAGTCTACTGCTTCCTGTCAATGGTCCAGAGCATTAATTGTCTTTGCCTTAGCTCTGGAGCTGGCAGTGAGGCTGGTTACCTTAAGCTGGCAATGAGTAATAGTGATGACAAGCCACTTCTGTAAATACAAAAACTAACACATTCTGGGAACTCTTTCTCCTCACAAACACTTGATCACTTCTGACCACTGCTTAGCTATATGTAAAAGTAACTTAGGAATTTCATTTAATTGCCTGTGCTGGGCTGTTGAAGTCAATGAGCCTTTTCAAAGCTAGAGAGACGCCATCAGAGACAACTACAAAATCACCCAGTTACCACCAAGTTTATGGTCAAACCCTAGGAGGTGTAACACTGCAGGAGAATCATACTTTCTAGAGCAACCACAGAAGTGAAGTACAGTCCAGCTAAGCTCAATACCTCTGCTGTGCTTCTGGGAACCAGCTACAGTAGCTGTAAAACTGAGACTAACTTTGACTAATGTCAGTGCTGACAATGAGAGAATAAAGAATTCTAATGAAACCAGATCCACTCTATTAATAAAATGCCATAAATTAGATTTTAATCATACAGTTTGAAAATCAGAACAAGATTAGTCAGGTAGATTACAGAGGATTCATTAATGGAAAAAGGTATTATCTGGGTCTGAGCAGAGTTATAAAGTTCTTGTAAAGGGCTCTGATATTGACATATCTGGCCTAGATTTTTTCCTGATATAACATCCACATGCAGTATTATTTACAATAGTTCAGATAGCCAGGACCTTTTGAAACTAAGAGAATGTCCATGTGTTTAAAGCACAGAGTATCATGAATATTTCATATACTAGAAAGAGATCTGTTTTTCTAACTGGATTAGATCTGTTTGAAAAGTCCAAGATATTCATGTAGGTGGTCAGACTTGTAGCTAGTTACATGAATCAAACTTTTCAAATCTTCTTTTTGGCCCACATCACTGTAAGCTGTAGTATCAATGTAAAATAGCATGAAAACATAATTAAATTTTACTTAAAAGAAATGTGCATTTTCAGAACAAGAAATTTTGTCAGGGCATCGTAACATTTTGTATTCTATTAAAAAAGCATATTTGCAAAAGTTTTTAACTATGGTGACCAGCAAAAAAATTTGATTTAAATATTTTCTGTATGCCTTTGGAAATCACATAAATTATTTAACTCTGTTTAGAAGCTGAATGTTATCCAGCCAAATGTGCATAATTATTGCTTAATAATAGTAATAGATTAATATAATCTCTACCAAAATAAAAACTGTAACAAACCAAAATGAAAAGTATTTCCTCAGTGGCCACTTAAAAGTGCTCTCACACATGTTAGCTTATACACCAAACTAGCAATCAGATCAGATCACAACATCGTGGTGGTTAGTTGATTCAGTAAAAGATTAAAAAAATAATGGAATACTTTATAATGTGTTCATGTTTAAAATGTAACAAGTACATGAATTAATCGTCTTACATTGTTTCTTATTCTTGGCTTGGGTGAGGAAAGATCTTCCTGTCAGACTAAATATAGGAGGATGTGAGGTATATGTCTCCTAAATAAATAAATAAAAATTATAAAAACCTTAAGTGGGCCTATTTACCTTCCAAATTCAACAGATTCATGGCCATCTGTTGCTCATAGAATTGACTTTTATTCCTCTTGGCATCATACCTGATAAAGTCAGTTCGTATTAATGTCAGAGATGATGCATAAAGAATAAAAAATGTGTCTGTATTTCAACTACTGAGGCTCTGGAGGAAGAAATAAAATATTAAACCAACAGATACCTGAATTCACCTAAAGAAACTCTATTTTGTCTGTGCTTCATGGGTAGCCTTCTGTTTCTATGTCTCTGAAGTGTTAATGACTGAATCAGTAGGAGGGGACAGCAGGTGTTTATTCTGAAGGTAAATACAGTATTATGCAGCTCGTGGTCCAGTAATCAGCATGCAAGTATATGGAGGCTGGAGATGTGTGGTGTACTTTAAGAAACGGTGAACTGACACGCTGATTGATCTGTGAGCCCAGTGGAGAAGCCAGTCAAGACCAGTACAATTCATGAAGAGTTTCTCTGTGCCAGTTTGGCTGACACGCCATTCATGCATGTCGGAGAGCTAATGTTAACCAAGCTGTACTGAAGCATCTGCCACTTCCACAAGCCCATCGGTGACACCCATGGGTGAGATGGCATTTGATTTATGTAGCTGATGAAAAACTCAGCAATCACCTGCAGTTTCTCAGCAATCTTGCAAAGACAAAGAAACATGTGCTCACACAGTAGTAGGCTCTCATCCTTGCACATTAAACATGCATTGATCTGGTTTACTTTAATATGGGAATGTCAAGGTTCTGTTCCTCAATCACTGGTAAATGCAGTGGAGTTGACACGAAACAGTTTCTTTATGTAATAGCCATATTTATGCCCTTTTCTCTCTCCTTGTCTCTGTGCACCAACCTATCAACAATTTCCTAAAATTAAAATATTTCTCAATATGAAACAAAACCTGATACATAATAACATGGGAAATGAAATTATACATAATGCTGTAGGAGTGAAAACAACAGAAAACCAAGACAAATGTACCTAGCAGCAATAAGCAACACACCTACCTTAATTCGTCTCTCCTTTACGTTTTCTTCTTTATTGGGATTAAGTAATCTACAAACTAGTTCTGGTTTTGAGAGAGCTACCAGAACAATCTCTCCCTGGCTGCCAAAGCAGGATCTAGCCCACTGTTTTCCCACCTGTTTTCTTTCACACTCTCTGAAAACAGATTTAAACATCTATACCAGCAGAAGAACTGCTATAGATGAGATTGCAGGATTTTCATAGTGGATGAGAACACCCCATCTCTCTAACAAGAAGATGCTTTAGAGGAAGTGCTTAAACAGCCCCCACCCTTGCAGCAGATTTTCTGGGGTAAATGAACAGGATCTTTCACTCCCAGAATCAAATTCCCTGGTGATTGAACTTCCAATATTTCCATAAAAACTCCCTGAGTCACCAAATTTAGACCAAGAAACTGACTCCACGCATGGAATTCAAGATGATCTGTTTTTCCCTGGTTGCGTTTTGGTCAAACACCCATTGGCTAACATCCCAAGCATGGATATTTCACATCACTTTATACCTTGGTCTGTATTGGTTTAATACTTTCAGAACTGGATAATTTTCCCTCTAGAGATCAAATCTATGAATGAAACTTGTTTGGTTAGAGTCTCAGAAGGCAAGGGTGTAAAAATCTGTATCCCAAGCTGTCTGGCTGGATAAAGAGCAATAGAGTTCTTCTTGGCCTGTAAACATGTTATGGCAGATAACTTGTAAGACAAGCCTCATTTGACATGGAAAAGGTTGGAACAAACTGAATGTGTTTACCTGATGATTATGGACTTTCAAGACTCCTACTGAGGTCACAAAACCTTTTTCAGTAGAACAAAAGGCTGCCCTAACCTCAGTAACTGGTTGAGGAAGAAAGGTGTGATTATAAATGAACCTGTTGAAAAAACACTGTCATCACCTTCACCGCATGTTGCGATTCTAGACATCACCATCGCACTGCTGTGCCTCTGTTCTTCATAATCATATATGGTTAGAAAAAGGAGTCACATTCACCTCCATCTCCATCACAGTGGCTAAATCTAAGAAATGAAGTTCCTGCTCAAATGAGCTAAAATCTTCTCTTACCTTATTCTTTCCACACTTTCCATTTTCTGTTCCCCACCAAAAAGAAGAGCAGAAAACATTATTGCCCCTGAACAGCACTGCTGACTTACTCCTCTTTCTCCAGTACATCTCCAGGCGTCTGACAAAAGGAGGAAACTAAAGGGAGAGGGAAGCTTAAGAAAATTTGGAGGGAAGGACAGCTCAGATAAGAAAGGGATGACCAAAATCACTGTGGGAGTCCGAGGTGACAGAGCAAACAAGGAAAACATTGAAACTGTCATGAGCAGCTCAGTGTGGCAGGAGAAAAGAACATGCATGTTCTGGACAGAGGATATTGTTGCAATGATCTTAGAAAATTTACTCAGCTTCAGCATAAATACCTGATCTGTGGTACAGTGGTATCTACATTCGAAAGCAGGATGGTCAACAGCAGCCTCTTCCTCTGACCTGGATAAAAGGGCTTGTGTTGTACAGCTTGGCCACACAGGAGCGTTTCTAGACTTCCAGGGGATGTTAGTTCAATCACTGTTGAATTCATTTCACTAGCTTTTCTGCTGTGGGTATGACATGTCTGTAAATATTACCTTTTCTGTGTCTATTCATCAGGAATCCTCCAGGCCCAGTAAAGGAGCCACCAGTATTGCAAGTGATGTAAAAAGTGTTAAGGGAGCATAAGCAAAATGGGAATATGGGAATGAAAGAGTAAAGAAAACTAGAAAGAAAAATAGCCAAGTTGTGAGCATTAATATTCTGAAACAACCTTTAGAAGGGAGGAGGAAGGGAAGAGTGAATCAATTTTTTTGAGTAACACGATGTAATTTCTGATAGAATGATTACAGAATCTGAAGAGCTTTTAGAAATCAGAAATACCAGTATTGCCTCTGCTTTGAGAATGACACAGAACAGTTGTTAAATTATGAAAACACCACAGAATAGGCTGGAATGTGTGGAGCTTACCTTCCTACGATGGGATGGCACAATAAAATATGTTTCAATATTATGCTTCTTCAAGAAACTATTCCTTTCATGACCATATCCTGGTTCTACCTCATAGTCCCCGTTTAGGCACTCTAAGGTGGTCTTTGTAATGTGAACTTTCCTGGAGAGAAAAAAATTACATTCTTGTTTAAAGCAAAGATACATTATAGTCGAGTTGCTACTGAAATACAGTCCTGAGCAGAAGAACAAAAAGAAAAATAATGTGCAAAATCCCATTTTAATGTAAAAAAGGTTTTGTTTTGTCTTTTCAGCCAAATAGAACATAGAAATATTTCCATTACATGGAGTTTCTAAACCTGAGCAGGGTGAACAGAAAGATAACTCTTGATTGTCCAAACATTTGCAGATTTGTTGATCTGTAGCAAGTGGAAGCCTGCAAATCATCTTCCACATTGTGTGGCTCTCCTCCATGCTTACCTCACTGCCTGCTTGGAAGAACATCCTGCTCTTTGAAACTTGTGATTTCACACTCTGAATCTCTCCTATGCATAAAGCAGAAACTCCTTTTTCTATTTCCCTTCATGGCTTTGACTTTTTCATTTACTCGGCTTTGTAGGCAGCTTTCTAAATTTGCTGTTCTGGCAGCACAGCCATCTTAGACACTATTGGTGAGTTTTATTATGCTGAAAACTGTCCTTACATTTTCTCCCAAAAGTCCCCTTATATTTGAAATGTCCTCACAGGAAGACATCTGAAAAGCTATTACTGCTTTCCTCCATTAAACATGCTCAGATTCTTGTTTGCCGGAAAGCCTTAAGGTAAGGAACATCCAAAACACACTGACAAAATTGTCTGAGGCAGACGTATGTAACACATTGCAATTCACTCAACCACGCAAATTAAGAGGTTCCACTGTGCCCCTGTTCAGCAAACCATGATCTTGTAAAAATCCAACAGAGGATGATAGGTCCCAGTTCAAATGTGAGTTGCACACAGAAGGACACCCATGCACCTTTGTGAAAGTGCTCTGCATGCATTTGAGGCCAAGGAGTACTTAAATTCCAGGACATGCCCCATGGGCATGCAGGTTTATGTGCTACCGTATCACTTGCACGCACACTGTCAGTATTTGAGTCCATAAACAGGTTTGGGTTTTTTTCTGTAGCACACTACTACTGTTGGAAATCTTGCCATGTAAAAGGAGTAAGGCTCACACCTCCACATGTCTAGAGGTGCAAGGATAAACATTTCCTGGAATAACTAGAGGTTTTTACTTTTATACATGAAATGGTGAAAGTCTAGCATTCCTACATTCCCAGCACTGCTTCATTCCTACTTTTTATATTTGGCAGCTTCTAATAAGGATTTTGTTTGGAAATGTTTTGCTTCTAATTTAACATATTACTAACATAAATATCAAGATCATTTTGAGAATTCCATAGGATAAATCACATAATATATTAACTGCTCTTGTTGAACACAACCCTTTTTGGTAGCAAGTGACTCAAAGAAGGAAAATTCTTCAACCATACAGGTTTCTGTTTCTTATTCTATGGTTCTTTCCAGACTTACCCAGGCAGTCCTCCAGCTTCCATTACATTGGCTAAAGTCACATCATTTGACCAGACATCATATTGCCATTTTCGGAGACCGAGGACCCCACAGAGCACCCTGCCTGTATGCAATCCAACTCTCATGTTGAGATCAACTTCTGTGGCTTCTGCAACAGACCTGGAATAGACAGTATCAGAAAGTCAGTCTTTAGGCAATGACGCTGCTCTTGATTTTCTTTTTCTCTCTCTTCCTCAAAGTTAAGGTATGTATACATGACTGAATAGACAGGATCTTTCAAAAATCTCAGATGATATATTCAGGTACTATTCTTTTCCTTCACTAGTTTCAAAGCCCCAGTTGTAATTCCAAATAAATAATTTTCTTAGTCACATTTTAATTATTGTTGAACCAAAATCTCAGTATCTTTAGATACTTTGACCTAATGTGTTAAAATTTTATTTTTCAGGTTTGAAGGACACACATGTTATGTTTCACTGCACTTAATAGAATTAATAAAAGGGAAAAAAAAGGGGGGGGGGGAAGCAAGTGTAGTAAATGGCTTTGTCACAAAACTTCCCTCACTTTTAAGTTTTATTTGCCACTTTTGCTATCACAGTCGTAGAGAAACTTAAGATATATCACTGGGAGATAAACAAAGAACTTTCTGTCTAAAACTCCAATACCTCAGCAACAGATAACTCCTGCACTTTCCTGTATCTGTAAGATTTTCTTGCATCTCACACATATTTACTTTTCTTTGTCATAACTGTTCCCTTTTCCCAATGCATATTTAGTGCAGCAGGATGACAAGTGACCACAATGTGATTGCTGGAATCAAAATAAGATTTCTGAAATTATCTTACTAGACTGAATTTTAACCTGACACGTAAGTAAGCAAATTTGTTTCAATTCTACCTTTACTCCAGACTGCTTTCAACTCAGTGTCAAAATGGGCTACCTGGCTTCTTTTTCAATACCAAAAATCTTTGCTGATGTTACTCCTTATCCTAGCTTTGGGTTTACTAGCCGGGGGATTTTTCTTCCTCTTAATTCTTTTTCACCATCCCAACCCTCTTCAGCCAGATAAACATCATGCTTGATCCTATATGGGCTAACTGAATTTTCATGGAGGAGTTTACTATTAAACACTAAGGAAAAGATTGATCTTGTGAGTAATATATCAACTTGAGTCGCTCAAGACTTGCATTTAATTTCTCTCCTCTTTTACCACTGTTCATTGTGACTCAAAGTAATTTTATCCTCTTGCATTTCTCCAACTGTAATAGCAAAATAACGCTTTTTTCCTCTTACTCCTTTTGTTTGCAGTGGCTTGATTTCAAGGTAATAGTCTAAAATATTTCATTTGTAATAAAAATAATATGAAATAATACATAGGGACCCCGACACTTTCTCTCTGTGCAGCATAGCGGGTTAGAAACTATTTTAAAAAGTTATTGTCTCATTTATATTGCCACAGTTTAGATTTGTGAAGTTCTCTAAGCTCACCATTTAGTTAAAATTCCACTTGAACGAAAACTTACCTAGTTAATAGCTAACACCTTTCATTCCCAGTGTCTTAGACTGTCGTTCTTCTTGGATGATACTTCTTTAATATTTTGTGATTTTTTTTTCAACTGATATTTTCACCCTATGCTACTCCTATAAAACCATTGCAACTACTACTAATCACACAGAGTTGTGCTGTGCCCTTACCTTTTTGGTATGCTCAGCTAAGCATCATTTCCTGCGGTGAGACTGAAAGAGCACAGACATATTCAAATGCTTTTAGAGCTTCTGTAGGAAAAGAGCTATGAAGAGCTACTCGTTGAGAAGGCAAATGGATAAGCAATGACTCCACTCTACTATTTTCTAATCGGTTCAATCACCCTGTCACAGGAGTACAGGACAAAGAAAATGATGAAACCAACAACTCAGTGCAAGAACAGCAGATGAATTATAAGCACTCTTCCCAAGCTCCTGCAAGAGTGGCACAGAAACCACCTGTGACTATGGACTTACACCTGTAAATGAAATCTAACCTTTAGAGATTGCATAGCTGGGAAAAGATGAAATCATTGGTAAGTCATTATTAAAAGTATTTTTAATTTTGGTGTCACAGTAAGGAAGGATTCTTCATTTCTGAATGAATGCAGGATATGCTATAACTCACACCCTGCACTGACTTGTGAACACTGAAAGGGAGCCTTGAAGCTAATAGCCTTACACATTACATGCAAAGATAACACTGAATAAATCTTTGCAGCTTTTTCAGTTACAGATAACCTGGCATTCCACAGTGAGGCTGCAGCCAAAAAAGAGATAATATCAATGAATAGGTGAAACTGACTGATCAGTGAAAGGCTTGATTTTCTTTAGGTTTTTCAATTTAAATTTCCCAATGCATATAACAGGAAGATACCTTAAACAGAGAGTCTGGCTCTAATTTTCCCTGATCTTCATTGACCAATATATTTATTTTTTTTTAAATGTATTTTCATCTCCATTGGATTTGGCAAAGGACTTTTCAACTATTTCAGTAGCAGTCACTGTATTTGCCTCTTGTATAGCTGTACTTGTTTAAATACCATTAACAAAAAGGACAACACAGGTCAAGAAGCACAAGATACCTGGCCTCAAGTTAAGTAAGGAACTCTGCAGCCATGAGGTGCTGAAGTATATACCATGTCAGCCATCACTACTGAGAGTAAAATGGAGGTCTCTTGTTCCCATAGGAAGCTGGCTGTACCCCATTTTTCAGTCATATTTTCTGCAACAGCACAGAAAGGCTTATGCACAGTGTTGGTATCACAGAAATTAGTGCTTCTGGTTTCTTTCTCAGACAAAAGGTGACACAGGAAAACTTGACATTACACTTGGGCTTCCACAAACTGGCTGCTGCAGATCCTCTCCCTTCCCCAGTGCCTTTGATTAGCCAGGGGCCAAATCCATAGGAAGGAGACAGTTCAAGCATCGACCTCCTCAACATCCCATGCAACTAAGCAGCAACACAATGTGCAGGTGCAAAATAAGCCCAGATTCCATCAGTAAGGATGAATGCCATGGTGGAGTCATCCATATGGGATAAACTCATGCATGTGACACAGAGAAAACCTGATAGACCCTACTGGGGTACTTGGATTTCGAGAAGCAAAGGTTCATGGACACTTGCCCTCAGACCTCTTCAAAGCCCACATGCAGCAGGAACATTCAAACCAGAGGGGCAGATCAGATTCCCTCATTTCCAGTTAGAAACATTACAGCTCACTTTTCGCCCTGTGGTGTTATCGAGTGCATTCAAGTAACTCCCTCATTTTATCACATTTAATCTACTAAGAGGCTACGTTTCTGGATTGAGCCAAAGAATTTTTTAATGTAACTTATGTCAGTTGATGAAGTACTATCTACAGACTACTAAGAACATCTAAAATTGTCCCTGTAATGCTAGTTTAAACCAGAACATTAGGCAGTTTATTGAGGAGAGAGGTAAGAGCTTGGGTAGCTGGGCAAAACTTCTCTACATTGCAATTTGCTAACAAATACATCTATTTAGAAGTAAGATACCTTCTTAGTAAATAGAGTGGAACCTTCAAATGTGGCAAGCCATTTAAGTAAGGTGAAGAGAGTACTTTGCCTAACGCACTGTTGAAAACCAAGGTGAGGAGAACATTTGGCACATTAGAGCAACATCTGGCACATTAGAGGTACTAATGAACATGGCCGTTTTAATTATATTACTGACAAAAACCTGACAGTAAAAACTCACCCGATGAAAGCAACATTGGTGGTATCCCACACTTAACTCCCACTTACATACTGCCACGATGGTTTAACTGACCCTGAAGTAGAGCAAACACCTGGCCTGTCCCGAGGCACTGAAACAAAACTCACTGACAGTAGAAATTCTTTTGAAACAGGATGTAACACTATTTATTTCGCTGTATCCTCCTCTAATAATTCTGGCCTGACTTTAACTGTGCCCTTGAAAAAAATACTTTGTAGAAAGCAGCTGAAATTGTGAAAAATTTAAGTATTTTATAATGTTCTTTAAAAAATTACTCTGAAAATCTCAATCTAAATGCAATGAGGCAACATTCTCAGATGACACTCACATGCAGCACCATATTCTAGGATACTTAAATAACAGTTACACAGAATAGGAAGAGAACAGAAGGCATCAATTTATATGAACTCATTATAAAGTTCATTTTGGTCCAATCACAGATCCATCAACCAGTGACTAGAAGTTTCTTTTCCTTGATTTCCTGGAAAAAGAACATCTTTGTGGTACATACCTCTGGGACAGGTACTTCTGACAGATCCATCAGCTGAATCACAACTCAAGTGATTGTATTTATTTATTTATCCCAGATAACATGACAAACCTGTCACTAGGGATGACAAATTCCAAGCATAAATTTACAGTGCCGAGACCTGTTGTCTGCAGCAAAGTGAACAGACTTTCAGAAGACAAGCAGCTGGCATCCAACTCTGGATGAAAGGGGGAAGTTTAGTAACAAAAGTGAGTCTGCATCTCATGGGACTGGTAAACACCACCTAATAAATATACCAATAGAAAATAAAATGTTGTATTCCAACTTTGCCATCATAAACTCTTCTCCTTTTCATGTGCTCAGCGTATTACAAAGAAATTACTCTGGGGAATCCACATTCCAACTCTGGTCTCTGTGAAGGAGTGAAGAACTTTTTCCTAATCTCCACCAGAACCTATTTTCCTGGTTTGAAGCACTTTGTACAGTTGGCTTAACCACATGCTTCTGTCAACAAAAGAACCTAACCCAGAATCTAACAATATCTGAACAGATGATGCTCCACTTGCAGTAAAAGAAAAAAATAGTACTGCCATCAAGGGCAACAATACTTGGAATGCACCATCCTCCTGCTCCCTAACATAAGCAGAACAGGCACATTCATTTAACTAAGAAGAAATACGTGTTGACTGGATCTCACAGTCCTTACTCCCACTACTAATTCCTCATTGGAAAAAAAGAAAGGGGGATTAATTTATTGTGCTTATGTACAAAGGATGTAGAAAAGGTCTTTAGCCATTTAAGAACCCTAAATGAATCTGGCACTTTCTTATAGCCTTGCCTCTTCTCCATCTTGCCTTGTCACTGTAGTCTGACCACAGACTACACTGAAGACTTGTGAATTCTTTAAAAAAATAAAATTCTGCAATTATCAGTTAGTTATCTTCTGCCATAACCTCTGGCTAAACATGGCTATATTATACACTACAGCCCATTATACAGAGTTGCTGATGCTGCAAGGGACCTCTGGAAATCATCTAGACCAACCCCCCTGATGAGAACCCAGGCAACTATAAAAGGTTGCCCAGGATTGTGTTCAGCTGGGTTTCAAATCTCTCCAAGGATGCCAACTCCACAACCTTTCAGTGTAACCTCTCTAGTACCTGACCACCATCACATTAAAAAAAGGTTCTTTGTTATATGTAAATGGGATTTCTTGTATTTCAGTTTGTGCCCATTTCTTCTTGCCCTGACACTAGATATCACTGAGAAAAGTTTGGCTTTGTCCTTCTTACACTCTCTAATCAGGTACTTCTATGTGTTGATGAAATTCCTTGTGAACCTCCTCTTCTCCAGGCTGAACAGTCCCAGTTCATTCCTTCCCTTTTCAAGTTTACATTACCATGACAGCAACCAATGAATGAGAACATAAAAAGTGAACACGTTTCATTTCCAGTATCAGTAAAACTGAAATATTCAAAAGGAGGAAGTTCAGACAGTTATACCACTACCTTATTTGTATACATGAAACACAGGACAACTAGTGAATTAAAGATTAATGCTACATTTAGAAGAGGATGAGGGCCTCAGCTACTGCTTTTCAGGGATTAGACGAAGAAAAAAGGCTTTGGAAAACGTATACAGGGCCTGTATATCAAACTATGCTCATAAAAGACAAGACTTCCATAAAAATGGAGTATCCATACGCTGCTGGAAGAATGCACATATACATGATTTGCAGACTTAGGATATTCTTTTGGGATTTTATAGTACCATAGATGACAAAGTCTTTTTTCAGTTTTACTATGTTTACAAAAATGATGAACCTGCATTGAATGAGAGGGAGAGTATGGGTTCATTTACCCAACCTTTCACATTCTGAGAGATTTTATAAATTAACATTACAATAAAAACACATGGATTGAGCTAGAAGTAAGAATCAGCCTTCAATTACCTTAAACAATTGAAGATGAAATACATGATGTGGCAAAAGCTTTATGAGAAAGAAGAAATAAGGTGAAATGTTCTGAATAAAAAATGCATTATTTGAATTCATAAACCTTATGTTTGCTTATTCTGTATTATTTTTCTTTATGTAATAGTTTACTCTTCATTTTTACACTGAGATTACACTGTCGCCTATTCACCTTCATAGACAATGTAGGTGTTCCCTGTGCACAATGCGAAAACTTGGGGATTAAGTGAAGGGAAGCAGAATCTTGACTCAACTCCACATTCCCAACAGTCCCGATGACAACAAAGAAGAAGAACAACTGGCTACTGGAAACAGTGGGCAAACACTTTCTGATATAGAACAGGATAAGACCGCTGATGTGACACACCTTTGCAAGCTCATTCCAAATGTAACAGCACTGTGCTGAGCAGCATTCAGTTATATACAGAATTAAGAGATGTGCGTTCCCTCCTATAGCCTTCCTATAAAACACACGTGCACATACACACAGAGAGCAATAGAGTATTGAAGAAATTTCCCATCTTTATCCTTTCCCTCCTATATAGTGAAATTGATCTCCAGCTCTCTCTGAAAGCTCATTCACAGTTCTCTCACATTCACATTTTCCGCCTTGGTAAAATAACGATCAATGCAGAGCAGAGCTCTCAAGCATAAAAAAAATTCTACTGATCAGCAAAGTGAATTTCACATTACATTTCTGAAAAGCAGAATAAATTAAGGGTTTAAACATGACATACAGAAAGGAGAAATCAGCAAGTTATCATTTTGAGAATACAAATGCATCTACAACATGCATACACCAGGACTGGTTTTGAGTTTACATACTGGTATGCAAAATGAGCAGTGTTTATCCCTGTAAAACAAGAAAATTGGACTCCTTTCTTCATGGCAAATGACAATAGGAATGTTTCACCATTTCCTAGTATCTTTCTGTCCCCTTATCAGTACATGTATGTGTCTCTACACACACTTGTGAACTTCTTTCTCACAGCAATTAAATGGAGTGGAAAATTGATGTTTAGAATGACCCTTCCTAAAACCAGCGTCCTATGACCTGAATGTACCAGTGCGAATTGCTAGGTGGGCAGTGCCAGCAGACACTGCTGTACTTCTGAGAACACACTTCTGAAGGCCACAAAGAAGTTGTTGTAGGCCTCCTGTCTGGGTTCATCATGTACAGTACTTACGTGATGGTGTCAATCATATCCAGTCCCATTTCCACACAGCAATGGGCATGATCTGTTTTGGGCTGGGTCAATCCTGATACACAGTAGTAACAGTCCCCTAGGATTTTTATTCTTCTGCAGTGGTTTTCCTGTAATAAAAACAGAATAGGAAAAGTTTTACTATTCATATAAATATTCCAAAGCTTACAGGATAAAATCTTCTCCAATACTATCATTCAGGGAATCCTCCTGTGGCCAAATGAAGTAATCTACAGCTCATTAAATCTGGTACAGAAAAGCTGATATATACACATTTGTTTATTTATAAACACACATATACATACTAGAGATCAGACCCAGATTGTTCAACATGCATGGGGTAACACTGCTTAAATCTATAGTTCTGAAGAAATAGTTCCTTGCCCTCATGTTAGGTCAGTATGAATTCAAGATTTGCAATGAAACTTCATTTCTATATGAATCCAAACCAAAGAACTGAAGCCAAACCACTATTTAATATCAGGAAATGTTTGTATTCTGAGAAGCTTTTGTTTCAAATCCAGTTCCAACGTACCACGAAAGACATTGTACTGATCTGTGAGGGTACACATGTTTGTAGATTACCAAGTCATAAATCACAATTTACAATATAGCATAATCAGTGTAACTATGACTCACTTGCAGATCAGAAGATGCGGTCAGTTTGCATTACCATCAAATTTATCTCCTGTTTGCATACACTTGAATTTCTACAGCCAAAGAGGTCTGGCTAAGTGTCTTTCATTTTGAAAAACCAGTGATGGCATGTGATGATTGCTATATTTGTCTGAGCAGAAACTTCATTTCTAAACAGTGAGCACATTATAAAATTCCTCTAACAAAGCAGTGCCTTTAACCAATCAGCTATGAGTCGACACAAAAAGATGATGGTATCCCTTGCAGCTACATGATAGCAACTTCTACACACTTAGAATATGACAGAGATATTAAATAACTGATTACATGTGTCCAACTCACACAGCTTGGACTATGCCAGTAAATGACCCCACCTGGAGTACTGCATACAGTTCTGCTGACCCAACATAAGAAGGACATGGAGCTATTGCAGCAAGTCCAGAGGAGGCCACGAGAATGATCAAGGGCTGGAGCACCTCCCATACAAATACAGGCTGAGAATATTGGGGCTGTTCAGCCTGGAGAAGAGAAGCTGAGTGGAGACCTCAGAGCAGCTTCCAGTGCCTAAAGGGTCTACAAGGGTGCTGGAGAGGGACTCTTCATCAGGAACTGTAGTGATAGGACAAGGGGTGATGGGTTCAAACTGAAACAGGGGAAGTTCAGGTTAGATATAAGGAAGAAGTTTTTCCCTGGGAGGGTGCTGAGGCGCCGGTACAGGGTGCCCAGAGAAGCTGTGGCTGCCCCATCGCTGGCAGTGTTCAAGGCCAGGTTGGACACAGGGGCTTGGAGCAACCTGCTCTAGTGGAAGGTGTCCCTGCCCATGGCAGGAGGTTGGAACTGGATGAGCTTTAAGGTCTTTTCCAACCCAAACTGGTCTGTGATTTTATAAATGCTATGCAAAATTAGCTGTTGTGAATATGATGAGAAAGGATTAACAAGAGTCTGGTTCAGCTTCTCATACAGGCACATATTGTTCTCCAGCCTCTTGCCTTCCTGAGCTGACCACATTCTCCACATCATCACTCATATTCCAACTCAGAAGCAATAGTTAATCCTGCAGTGAACCCCTTCCCTCTGACACATCATACACCAGCAGTAGGGGCTTGTTATTACACCCTCTTCCAGCTGCAGGCATTCCCCATGCCCCTCTTCTTTATAAATGTTTCTGAGCATTGAATAAATACTATACGATGAGAATTACCTCTGTTCAGGCATGGAGGAATGCATGCTTACACTGTTTAGGAAACCTGCTTTTTGCACCTCTTTTTATAAATTGGACAGTAAATTCATATCTTGAATTATCAGCCATCTTTTTGGATATGCTTAACTACCAGAAAAGGCTTTTCTAAGAGGGACTACTTAACATTTCTTGTGCTTTACAGCAGGATTTTAAATATACCACTCATTATCATTGCTAATATGTATTTTAATGAATTTGAGCATCATTATTCTAGAAGCATTATCAATGGGGCAGTAGAAGATTCCCACAGCCTGTAGCCACAAAACACCTCACCAATTTTACTTAGAGCTTTAACCTGGTATTTTGAGATCCTTGGCTAAATGGTATTATTAAAGTACAATACTTACTGATGCACACAAAGTAATATGCAGACCTCGATATCTATTCTGACACAAAACAGGCCTTCCAACTCAAAGTTCTTGTACAGAAACCACTAAGGTTTTTAGTACTAAATTATACTGCCAAAATCTGCATCTGTTAATATAATTTTTGGGCAAATCTTGAAGCAGTGGGGGGTACTCAGTAATTAAAGCTGGAACTTACTTTCCAAAACAAATCCCATTTTTGCCCAAATCTTAAAATCCTCTATAAAGCCCTTTTCATTCTTAAATTTGGTATGTATGACTTGTGGCCAGGCAATGACTATCTGACCCAGACTAGAGTTACTCAGAAAAGCCATTTCAGTAATCTGAGGTGGACAATACGCATGCGTTCATTGATCAGTGTTCTCTCCTATTCAGGGTAGACCTCCAAAATAGTTTGTTTCTAATGACTTGGCTTTCTTAAGAGAGTTTGCTGTGCTCTCGAGCCATACTGCATATTTTATAACAGGATACACAAAATGACTGTCAGACTGGCATAGCACAGTCTAGCAGCCTGGTGGGTAGATCAAGGAAGGAAAAAACCCAGAACAGAGCTTGATCCATCACCAGTTTTCCAAGACAGTTTATAAATTGTGCAGGAGAAAAATGAAAGGAAACAAGGACTACAGCATTTTTTGCAGGGATATTAGCTTTGATGGAAGACATACAGCTAAATCACCTGCTGTTTTGAACCCACCACTGTTTTTTACCAGATGTTCTCGCTGTCCTTATTTATAAGAATCAGTAATCTCTAGGAAAATAGTTTTCTTGTTCACAACACGTGAGGCAGACTTCCAGGAAGGAGATGCAGAGCAGCTTTGTAAGAGCAATCTTTTAAAGGATTGATATGCAAATGAACAACCCAAACTCTTTC